CTGTGTTCTGCTACATACATGAAGATCTGTGCATGCCTGTGTTCTGCTACATACATGAAGATCAGTGCATGCCTGTGTTCTGCTACATACATGAAGACGTGTGCATGCCTGTGTTCTGCTACATACATGAAGACGTGTGCAGGTCTGTGTTCTGCTACATACATGAAGATCTGTGCATGCCTGTGTTCTGCTACATACATGAAGATCAGTGCATGCCTGTGTTCTGCTACATACATGAAGACGTGTGCATGCCTGTGTTCTGCTACATACATGAAGATCATGGCATAGTACAGAGCGGACCAATCACAGAGCGGTGTCCCCTCCTTCTCTGGGACTCACCACGGCCCGCGGGATCTGAAAGATGACGGCTGAGCTGGCCGGGAGAAGTCTGCACTGGACGGCGCCATCTTGTCCTCCGAAGGTTGGACGCTGCGGGAGCAGGGGAAGAACGGGGTTGGATTTCTGCTTGTCGGACTCCACGCATGAGGAAGCCGGTACCAGCGGAGCTTGGGATGTGATTGGTGGAGAGGAGAGACCCTGGGACACCTGAGGCTGGTGGGTGAGGGGCAGCAGAGGGCGGGGCTGACTGTGAGGACGGTTCTGGATGACCAACTGATGCAGAACCGGCTTTGGTTCCGGGACAAGCTGAGGAGGATAAGCTGCGAAGAGAAATATACACACGTGTCTATGTACATCACATGTATGATCACCGTGTAGAAGGAGAGCGGTACATATATATATATACACATCCCATGTACATCACATGTATGATCACCGTGTAGGAGGAGAGTGATACATATATACACACATCACATGTATGATCACCGTGTAGGAGGAGAGTGATACATATATACACACATCACATGTATGATCACCGTGTAGAAGGAGAGTGATACATATATATACACATCACATGTATGATCACTGTGTAGAAGGAGAGCAGTACATATATATATACACATCCAATGTACATCACATGTATGATCACCGTGTAGGAAGAGAGCGGTACATATATATATATATACACATCACATGTATGATCACCGTGTAGAAGGAGAGCGGTGCATATATATACACACATCACATGTATGATCACCGTGTAGAAGGAGAGTGATACATATATATACACATCACATGTATGATCACTGTGTAGAAGGAGAGCAGTACATATATATATACACATCCAATGTACATCACATGTATGATCACCGTGTAGGAAGAGAGCGGTACATATATATATATATACACATCACATGTATGATCATCGTGTAGAAGGAGAGCGGTACATATATATATACACATCACATGTATGATCACCGTGTAGAAGGAGAGTGGTACATATATATACATATCACATGTATGATCACCGTGTAGGAGGAGAGCGGTACATATATATACACATCCCATGTGCATCACATGTATGATCACCGTGTAGGAGGAGAGCGGTACATATATATACACATCACATGTATGATCACAGTGTAGAAGGAGAGCGGTACATATATATATACACATCACATGTATGATCACCGTGTAGAAGGAGAGCGGTACATATATATATACACATCACATGTATGATCACCGTGTAGAAGGAGAGCGGTACATATATATATACACATCACATGTATGATCACCGTGTAGAAGGAGAGCGGTACATATATATATATACACATCACATGTATGATCACCGTGTAGAAGGAGAGTGGTACATATATATACACATCACATGTATGATCACCGTGTAGAAGGAGAGCGGTGCATATATATATACACATCACATGTATGATCACCGTGTAGAAGGAGAGCAGTACATATATATACACACATCACATGTATGAAGGACATTAAACACGCTGCCCTATGTCCTCACTGCTCTGTGTCATCTCCATTCCCGGCCCAACCACACGCTATCCCACCTGTAATGTGCCTGCACCCCCATGCCAGGTACATATGTCACCCCGGCCGGCTTTCCTGCATCTCCGTGTTTCATGACGGTGACCCTGGCAGGGAAAGTGCTGATCATTGCAGGGAGGGTTGTCACCATGGAGATGACTGCCCTGCCCCCCATACATACAGTGAGCGTGGTCACATTGTACAGTCTGGTGACGTGTTGGTCACACAAATGTATTCTGGATGATGAAAGGTCTAACATGGGAAGCGTCTCCGGACTCTTCATGGGGGGGTGTCTGTGTTTTTTAGCGTGTATTCATACGTGTCATTATAGCGGTGTGAATGGTCAGTAAATCTCTGCCTGTCACATGTGACTGGATCATGTACCCGGGAGAATGAAAAGAGCCGAGACCAACCTGCCGAGATGTAGAATCTCTCTCATCCATTGAGGAACGCAGCGAAGTCTATCACTATTGGGTTATACTGCCACCTACAGGAGGATTGGATACTGCAGGCCGGCCCCCTATAGCCCTCCTACTCCCAGCGTGCCCGTGTTTGGCCAGTGACCTCGGAGAATGGACTCAGTTTTACCAGCACCAAGCTCTCCCCGTACAGAGCCCTGTGATTGCAGCTCTCCAGAACCCCTGAACTGGACCTCCGGACACGGCGCTCGCTCTGCCTAGGTTGCCTTACAGACTCCATTCTGGTGAAACGTTTGCTGCCGAGCACTTTCCAGCCCCGGCGCTCCCGGCATCGCCGTGTTTCTGAAGACTCGCAGGCCGGAGAGGCTGAACACCAGCAGCTACCTCAAGTACACAGTCCACGGGGGAGCTTCACATGTAGGGTTGCCACCTTTTCTTCAAGCGAAACCCGAACACTCTAGCGTCGTGCGGACATTTTTTTTGGAAAATAACTTACAGCTTATTCATATGTAAATAGCGCCGCCCATTTATATGTAAATACCACAGTTGAGACTATTTTCAGTGGGGGCCCCAGTAGCCCCGATCTTAATTTTGGTTGCCCCTGTCTGCCTGACATCTTGTGTCCGGGTTTCTGCTGCCATGAAACCCGAACACAGCATTCAAAACCCGAACTGTCCGGGTGAATCCTGGACAGGTGGCAACCCTACTCACATGTCCCTGCAGGGAACCTGCACGCTTCCTTGGCACACGGCGGCGGGGACGTATCCCCCACTGATACCCCTGCTTTCCAAAGAGCCGCGTGGGACCGGATCCCGCGGTGTTTGCCAAAAACATTAGTGACGAGGTTATTGGCCGGCAAGCCAGCTCCATGGTGATGAGGGAGCATGGAGGCGGCTTTCCTCCCCCGATCTATGACTTTCCTCCCCCGATCTATGACTTTCCTCTCCCGATCTATGACTTTCCTCTCCCGATCTATGACTTTCCTCCCCCCGATCTATGACTTTCCTCTCCCGATCTATGACTTTCCTCTCCCGATCTATGACTTTCCTCTCCCGATCTATGACTTTCCTCTCCCCGATCTATGACTTTCCTCTCCCCCGATCTATGAATTTCCTCCCCCGATCTATGACTTTCCTCCCCCGATCTATGACTTTCCTCTCCCGATCTATGACTTTCCTCTCGCCCGATCTATGACTTTCCTCTCCCGATCTATGACTTTCCTCTCGCCCGATCTATGACTTTCCTCTCCCGATCTATGACTTTCCTCTCGCCCGATCTATGACTTTCCTCTCCCGATCTATGACTTTCCTCTCGCCCGATCTATGACTTTCCTCTCCCGATCTATGACTTTCCTCTCGCCCGATCTATGACTTTCCTCTCCCGATCTATGACTTTCCTCTCGCCCGATCTATGACTTTCCTCTCCCGATCTATGACTTTCCTCTCGCCCGATCTATGACTTTCCTCTCCCGATCTATGACTTTCCTCTCGCCCGATCTATGACTTTCCTCTCCCGATCTATGACTTTCCTCTCGCCCGATCTATGACTTTCCTCTCCCGATCTATGACTTTCCTCTCGCCCGATCTATGACTTTCCTCTCCCGATCTATGACTTTCCTCTCGCCCGATCTATGACTTTCCTCTCCCGATCTATGACTTTCCTCTCGCCCGATCTATGACTTTCCTCTCCCGATCTATGACTTTCCTCTCGCCCGATCTATGACTTTCCTCTCCCGATCTATGACTTTCCTCTCGCCCGATCTATGACTTTCCTCTCCCGATCTATGACTTTCCTCTCGCCCGATCTATGACTTTCCTCTCCCGATCTATGACTTTCCTCTCGCCCGATCTATGACTTTCCTCTCCCGATCTATGACTTTCCTCTCGCCCGATCTATGACTTTCCTCTCCCGATCTATGACTTTCCTCTCGCCCGATCTATGACTTTCCTCTCCCGATCTATGACTTTCCTCTCGCCCGATCTATGACTTTCCTCTCCCGATCTATGACTTTCCTCTCGCCCGATCTATGACTTTCCTCTCCCGATCTATGACTTTCCTCTCGCCCGATCTATGACTTTCCTCTCCCGATCTATGACTTTCCTCTCGCCCGATCTATGACTTTCCTCTCCCGATCTATGACTTTCCTCTCGCCCGATCTATGACTTTCCTCTCCCGATCTATGACTTTCCTCTCGCCCGATCTATGACTTTCCTCTCCCGATCTATGACTTTCCTCTCGCCCGATCTATGACTTTCCTCTCCCGATCTATGACTTTCCTCTCGCCCGATCTATGACTTTCCTCTCCCGATCTATGACTTTCCTCTCGCCCGATCTATGACTTTCCTCTCCCGATCTATGACTTTCCTCTCGCCCGATCTATGACTTTCCTCTCCCGATCTATGACTTTCCTCTCGCCCGATCTATGACTTTCCTCTCCCGATCTATGACTTTCCTCTCGCCCGATCTATGACTTTCCTCTCCCGATCTATGACTTTCCTCTCGCCCGATCTATGACTTTCCTCTCCCGATCTATGACTTTCCTCTCGCCCGATCTATGACTTTCCTCTCCCGATCTATGACTTTCCTCTCGCCCGATCTATGACTTTCCTCTCCCGATCTATGACTTTCCTCTCGCCCGATCTATGACTTTCCTCTCCCGATCTATGACTTTCCTCTCGCCCGATCTATGACTTTCCTCTCCCGATCTATGACTTTCCTCTCGCCCGATCTATGACTTTCCTCTCCCGATCTATGACTTTCCTCTCGCCCGATCTATGACTTTCCTCTCCCGATCTATGACTTTCCTCTCGCCCGATCTATGACTTTCCTCTCCCGATCTATGACTTTCCTCTCGCCCGATCTATGACTTTCCTCTCCCGATCTATGACTTTCCTCTCGCCCGATCTATGACTTTCCTCTCCCGATCTATGACTTTCCTCTCGCCCGATCTATGACTTTCCTCTCCCGATCTATGACTTTCCTCCCCCGATCTATGACTGCCCCCCCCGAGCGAGGAGTTGGTTCCAGTGTGGACTTCTGGAGGTTCAGGATCTGACTGTTCCCTCGGTATCAGGTGGTCCTGGGATTCCACAATGGGCACGTCCTATAAAGGAAACAGCGTGAGCACCGAGGCCGGCACCTTGCTGAACACTGGAGTATGCCCACCACACTGCGCTGGAAGGAGGCCGATCTACGCGAGAGATCCTCAAGGTCTTGATAAAAGTCCGGTGAAAAGGGTTTGCTGCTCTCGGAGGACACAAGGCGCCCATCCTCCTAGGACACTAGCATAAAAGTGAAGCATGCTGGGAGTGGGAGGAGTTACATCTGGCTATCAGCTTTGTTTGTGTGCAATCTCTTGTAAGCTGCCTCAGACTTTCTTCTACCCGGAATGAGAGCTCAGCTTTGACCACAGCTATGGAAGGGAGGACTACTCGTGTCATCGCCCCGCCCCCTTTATCATGCTCACCTGGAGTCATAACCGCGTGTGTGGCGACGGTAGTCCGGTTTGTTGGCGCCTGGCTGTCTGTTGCTGGCGATTCCCCTTTCTTGGTGGTGTCTGCGGTATGGCTGCCTACACACCCGGCAGGTTTGATCACAGGATGGAGGCTCAGGGTGGCAGGCTTCATAGCCAGGGTAGGGAGCTGCGTCTGATTCAGAGCTCCCGTCTCACCAATCGCACCCCGCACGGTGAGATTCTGGACCTGCAACACAGACGGCGACATCAGCACCTTGACCCCCACATGACCTCCGAGATGTGATCAGATGTGCAGACTGACAGCGGGAGGAGCACCGCACCCCTCTATCAGCTGTGAGACTCACCTGAGTACTGATAGGCGGAGGCTGGGAGGAGGACGCAGAGCTGACATCAGATTGGATGCTGCTGACCGTAGGGGTAAATATAAGCTGGAGGGGGGCAAAGGACAGTGTCAGCCAGGAGCAGTGCAATGGGGAGCCATTCACTATTCTACACCACAGACAGAACAACCCAACAATGACATTCTCTGGGTGGAGTCACACCTGCGTGTAGGCCCCTCCCCCAAGTCTCAGCTTCTCTCTGTACTGCCACCTACCATCTGTGCCCGGAGGTACATCTGTGCCTGGCTGGTGCTCAGTGCCGGGGAAGACGCATTTCCCAACAGAACGGCCTGCTGGGTGATTCCGGAAGCTTGAGCTGGTGTGGAGCCGACAGTCTGCGGGCGCTGGATAATCTGGGGAGAGGAGACATCGAGTAAGACATGTATACAGGAGGGGTGCACCCCCATACCCCAACATGGACCCTGCCATATACAGCACAGGGCTCCATGTATACAGGAGGGGTGCACCCCCATACCCCAACATGGACCCTGCCATATACAGCACAGGGCTCCATGTATACAGGAGGGGTGCACCCCCATACCCCAACATGGACCCTGCCATAGATATACAGCACAGGGCTCCATGTATACAGGAGGGGTGCATGGCAACCAATCACCTTCTCTCTTCCATTTGTTCAGTTAAGGTTTGAAAATGAAAGGTGGATGCTGATTGGCTGCTCCAGTTGTGATACATTCCCCCCAATGTAGCTGCAGTGACATCTGGTGGCCATAGCGGGCATCTCTTGTGTTCCATGGACACGGCCAGTGATGTGTAATAGTCAGGCCGTAGAATTGCCAGCATGCTGAAAATCTTCTGGCCAATAGCTGATTATTACCGTTTCTATGG